CGATGAAACTGTAGGATGATATCGATATCGAATCCTTTTCATTTATGCACGTGTTCAGAATACAAAAGTTTAACTTATTAACACATATCTAACCAAGCATTCGTGGGTCAGTGGTTATGATATCCAACTACTGACCCACGAAGGCTTTTTGATTGGCGTGAGTTCGATCCTCAGCCTTAGTTATATTTAATAAATAATATTAAAACAGATTTAAATATTAAAATAGATTTAAAGTCATTTTATTCCCACATAGATGGCGCCACTAGAGTAAAGCATGATATCATTTATGTGTTATGTAATAAAAGATGACTTCATAACTTCATAATATACAGTATCTCCCCAAATAACAAAGTTTCTAAGTGTTGCCATCGTTGAAAAACTAATATTAAAAATAATAAGTGTTGCCACCCTCAAAAAACTATTAAATTAAATAATAAACAGAAACCGAAACTAAAATCGAAACTACAGGCGGTCAGAAATAAGCAACTTCCGGTTGGGGCAGAAATAAACTCCGGTTGACTGTGACGGCACTTCCGTCGCTTAGATCCCCTTGTCTACTACTAGTGTAGGAACAACTAGTGAGATAATGTTCAGGCGAACTTTGTTGACCGCAGGTGCAAAGATCAGTATCTGTTATATGCAGGTAATTAAAGAAGGTTGGAAATGTTCCGTGACCCGTCAAGAACCAGATGACTTGTTTTGGAGGGATTGTTTTGAAAAAAGTAACATTGTTAATAATTTTGAATAGACGTCTGCCTCTGTCTGAATTATTCCATTGAAATAGCCATTTTGTTAGAAGAGAATCTTTAATACTTCGTTTAAGATCTGAAACTGGAAGTGGGTAATTTTTCGGTTGTCTCGTAGATTTAGCTAAATCATCTGCTTTTTCATTACCTACTCTATGGTATTTATTACTGTAAAAAGTGCGGTACATCAGATTTTTGCTCCGTAACATATTACGGTAAGAATAGATTTTACGGTTAAAAGTACTCACCCTGAGTGCCGGTACTTTTTACAGCAACTTGATCAGCAATTTTTCACTGTATACAAGTTGAAATGAAAAAAATTTAGTTTCGCGTTAAATAAGCTAAATTACTGGGGAAAAAAGTATTTAATCATATGTGAGAGCAGTAAAAAATTGCGATACTGTTCTTGACGCCAACGATGCTTAATTAATTTTGTTAATAGGTATTACTTTTATGAATCAGTAATTTTAATATGTACTAAATGTGCTAATATTGGTACGCCTATATGCTAATATATACTACTAGGAGGCTCCGCCCCCTGCTCGCTAAACGCTGTAGTGCCGCCTATACTACTTATGTACTTTTTTAAAATTATTGTCACATGTCACTTAGGGGCACACGTGCCATAACTTCGCAATCTCTGGTATATACCATGTAAAACAGTCCTGAAAATATACCAAAAGTATTAATGTATGCATTATATTATTTATTATATGCATTATATTATTATTATTTATTTATTTAGGGGAGTGTCTTGGAAACTTCTGGAGCCTATGACCCATCTCCGCATTTTGAATATTTACTACAACAGCATTAAAACTCTTGGCACTGACTTCAGTGAACATATAACTAAAGAACTAAGACAACTTACATTTTATGAAACGAGTACTAAATCTGTCAAACCTGGTAAGAAGCATTAATCAATCATTGAATATATTTTGATATCTTAAACTTCATTGTGTTCGAACGGCTTCTTCTTTGTGACTTTTTAATTACTTGCTAACACAAGAGGTGTTCAAAAAATATAGAAATGGCCCAATATCTAAAAAAATAGGCATTATAAATTGGCTTTCGGGGTGACTTTGGGTGGCAAAAAGACAGGAGTTCCAAGATTAAGATAAAAATGTTTCTTTTTAGTTTGAGTTAAAATAAATTTTTTTTCTAAAGTGACTGTTCGAGCAATCAATTTAAACTTCATAGCAACATTGATAAATGAATTTCAAAGTTCATTCTAAAAATAATAAATGGGAAACTCCATTTTTTAATTCAGATATGGATTCTCTCTAAACACCCTAATTTGACATGCACGTCTTTGCATTTTAGATAAGCGCTGACATCGTCAATTAAATTGTTTTATAATTCATAATCCTCAAACTCACAAAACTTAATGGCACCGAACTCGAGCGCACCGATGAAGTCAAATTAGTAAAAACAATTTATGTTATTAAAAAAAAAAATTCCGATCCGATATGTAAATTTTTTGCTCATTTTTAAATTCGCGATTACAGCGTCATCTGTAAACTAAAATTAAATTTCCTGCAAGTCACTTTGGAGTATTTCTTTCTTTCTAGAAAATCCACATCTGCATCAATAAATGGGGTTAACAACTAAGATTTTAATACATCATTCCTCATAGAGGCAGAATTTGAGAAATCAAATTTGGTATTATTGAATGCATCTTTTAAAATATTTCAGTTCATAGTTCTTATGCGTTACGTATATTTCTAGAGGAATTAGTCAGTTTTCATACTTTTTGAATACCCTGTATATGATCTCTCTCTCTTCTAATATACGTCGAGAAGCTTTTTATACTGGACATTTCTCAAACTGCTTGCTTTAAAAAATAGACATAGCAAGTCAAAATGCATGTTTAAGAAAATGGACATCACTCAAAATGCACGTTTAAGAATTAATAGCTAAGAATGCGTATTTAATAAAATGGACTCAACTATTTTAAAAAAATAGACTTAGCATTTTATTGCGTGTTTCAAACTTCTTTAATGAAAGTTTTTTTTTAAACTTTTTTTTAAGATTAAACTAATAAATCTGAAAAAAATCGTAATAATAGGTTGCTCATGTGTCTAAACCATAGTAAATTTCATTTAAATTAGACTTTCTTCAAAATGCTTATAAGAGTCACCAGTTCTTTTTAAAAGATTGCCCCGGGTTCTGTAAATTTATAATAAAGGCATTAAATTTACGATGTGCGAATTTAGAATTTTAAAAAAGACTTTATTGTCTAATGTTCTCCAGAGATCGCCTGAAAAGTTACAGATGTAATATATCAAGCAACCATCCACCCCAACGTCTGGGAAATTACCCCCTAATGATCATGCTTTTAGTGTATTAAAAAGTAAGTTCGAAATTTCTCACGTGGTTGTTAAAATTGGATCCAACATTCAAAAGACGCATTTCATTTTCTTAAACAAGCATTACAAACTCTGTATATTTTCTTAAACATTCATTTCAAGCTATGTCCATTTTCTTAAACATTCATTTCGAACTATGTTCATTTTCTCAAACACTCATTTCGAACTATGTTCATTTTCTCAAACACTCATTTCGAGCTTAGTTCATTTTATTAAACACTCATTTCGAGCTTTCTCCATTTTCTTAAACACTCATTTTAAACTACGTCCATTTTTATTAAACATTCATTTCGGAGTATGTCCATTTTCTTAAACACGCATTTCATCACACTCATTCTAGAATGAAAAAGCTCATCAATGATTATTTTCTAAACTAAAATACACTAAATCACTAAATATAATTTCTACAAAATTTTTAATAAGAATCTAACAGTTTAAGGAGAGCTTAGTATACAAATAATTTATAAAAATTATAAATATTGATACATAATTTTTTTTAGTTGTTCTCTAGCACATTTTAGCTTTAATTATCTTTCACTAAAGAAACATTTCAAAGAAGTTAGCTATAGTAGTACTTTACAATAATAAAATAATAATGAAGAAATAAAGCATCTAGTGGTCAAAGTTATCGCAGTTAGGGGGGGGGAGTAATTTTGTCAATAATTATGAACTTTTAATGAAAAAGATAGCAATTGATATATAAACACCTTATATTAATTTTTCTATCTTAGAACCGAGTTTAAAAATTATTTACTTTGACTGATCGAGAAGTAGACAAAAGTTTCATTGAATTTTAAAACTGGCGTGTTGACGGTACCCGTATAAGTTGCTCTTACGTTATTATTACACACCATTTAATTTATATTTTCTTTTGAAATATTTTAGGTGCTTTTAAGGGATTTTTTGATTTAGAAAAAGTAGCTTTTGAATCTTGCAAACTGACAGAATTAAGTCGTGATATATTTCCAACACCTTCTAATGTTCAAGTATTGTACTTCAAGTAAGTAATACAGTCTATACAATTTTTACGACATTGTTTAACAAAGACAAATTTAACTTAAAGATGCATTTGTTTCTTTTACTTATTGAAATAAAGTTTATGCTAACTAAAAAGAATGTGTGTCACAGTGGTCGGACTCATGATAAGACGTCCAAAATCCAAAGAAACAACTTGCTGATCATTAATGCTTTTAGTTAATAAAAGTATTTATAATAATATAAAATTATTCATTAAAAAAGTATTCCAATTATTATTATTGTACTATCCATACAAAGGGATTAGGTATTTCCTCATCTGAATTGTGACTTTTTGCTATACATTTCGTGCAAGTGTTACTTCTTAAAGAATTATACTTTCTTTATTGTTTTCGGTTTTTCAATCTTTCAAAAGTTGGAAAATTATTTTTATTTGTTGACCCTGCAAACAGTTAATATATTACACTAATTTAAAGCATTTATGCCAAACTGAATATTTAATATTATTTTGCCTCGTTATTGTGATTTATGAAAGGGAGCTCCCCTTGATTCCCCTCTTTCACTCGAAAGAAACTAAAGAATAATCGATTCAGAACAAGGAAAAACAAGGTGCCCAAAGTTTTCCTTATTGATGAAAATGTAAAAAGAAAAAGTTTAGTAAATTTTCCTCGTTTTTAACGTAATAATTAGTAAAAACTTGAAGCTTTTTTACTCATTGGCAAAATGGTTGTTGTTTTGGGTTTGATGGCGTGCGCACCTTATTTGGACATCATCACACTTTTCAACTGTGTTAAAGAGTAATAGTAAACAGTGCTCACGCGTTGTTATTGCATGCGTTGCTATGGAGACCACTAATGCTTGATAAATTTTTTTTAAATTCTTTTTTTTTTTCACTCTTAATTTTGTTATGCATTAAGTTAATGAGTTTATTTTTGAGATATGGGACCAGAGAGATCTCATAAATACTTCTTGAGTTGTGAATAAAAGAGAATTTCATCATTTGAACGATATTTTTGCTTTTGTTGATTTAATTTAGAATCAGAAATTCTAACAGGATCGTTTTCAATACTAATCCAGGTGAACATCATAAATAAAGAGGGCAAAAAAAATTAGACAACTACCATTTTGCCAATGGGTAGCCTGTGATTGCCCTTCGGTACTAATTTAATTTAATTAATATGTAAATGGAATAAAATAGTGCACTATAAAACCCGTACTCCGCTTCTAATATTATAATTGCGAAAATAAGTGTGTATACAAAACTGTAGTAGTGTATTGTCGGTCTGTTTATTACATTCTCACGTACAAACTAAGAGACAAACTTCAGTGATCTTGTGCGCAGATAAAGTTGGAGGTCTAGCTAGCTAAAGAGTTGATACAGGCTAGGCTGCAATTTACAGCGGAAAAATACTTTTCTGTAACAAAATAAAACCTTACACGCAGAGAAAATAAAAACATACGCGGGTAGAGCTGCAGGCAACTGATAGTTAATAATAATTCAGTTTCATATATCAAAAAATAATCCTAATAACTTAAAATTTAATAAAATTTTTACTTCATAGCTACTTTTATAAATTATGTGGATTGTAGATAGATATATGTCTTTATATTATAAGGTAGTATAATGTAAGTAAATAGGTACTTATCAGTGCATGTTGATTATTTCATTCATGAAATGCCAAAACTAAATTCATGACCGGGTTTTTCCATTCATGAACCTCCAAACTTGACATTAAGCCCTTGCAGGTCGTCGTCGACCCCCTGGGGGTCGATATACGCCACTTTGGGAATCACTGCTATAAACGGATGTGGCGTATATGTGTGGCAAAAGTTGAATTCCTGGCCATAGCTGGCGCCACTGGAAAACAAAAACAATCGCACCTCCTCTGCCTTTATGGCTGACGACAACAGCAACAACATTTTTAAAACAGCTTTTTTTTTCAAACAGCTGTTTAATTTAAAGGTATCACTGTGTCCGTCAGCAATTGTAATGAATTACAAATGTAATGTGGGTGGTTTTATAAACTTACAAGAATACAATTATAAGTTAATATATGAAAATATATTGCTTATTATATCGGTATTTAAAGATCAATTCAAATTTGAAAACACTCCAGAAAATATTTTAGATTGCAGAATATTGGAAATTGTTCAAGCAATTATTGCTCAGTAGTGATCCGATTGTTTCTCAAAAGAGGAAAAAAGCGTTGAAAAGATTTTGTTCCTACCGAATAATGTCCCTTAGTTGTAGCAAATAATTAGAATCATTGGAATTCACGATATATATTTCGTGTAAAAGATCTAATAATCATATTACTGTATAAGTATGATAATTTATTATAACAATAATTTTTTGAACCAAGATTCAAACTTTATTATTTATTGTTTAATTCGTTATTCGCGAATGCGTTATAATAAGTTTTGGATAATATTAGTAATTACAAAAAGTCCTTAAATATACTTACTAGCAATAAAATATATCATTTTAAAGTAATTGATTAATTAAACATAATCAATCTTTGACACTTAAACGTCACTAAAAAGGATTCACCAAACTGACTATTAAAATTCAAACCTAAGATTTTTAACTGTAATTAGCGATCTTGAAAACCCTTATTTTGAAATTTTTTTGAAAATATAATTGAATTGTCAGTTTTGGTCCGTTTTTTCTCAGTTTAGACTACTGTATGACGTCATCTTATGACGCACAAAACATAACAATAAGTGTGTCAGTGCGGTGCTACAACTATACGTCGTTGTCTGCATTTTAATCATTTCAGGTCGTAAATGGTTAAAGATAAACTTTGGCATTTAGTTTTTTTTCTTCTTATTTATGTATGTATAGTTAATTTATTTATTTATGTATGTTTAATCGCTTTATTTGGAAACATCAAGGTTGATCAAACTGGGGAACAAATTTTTTTGTTCCACTAATAAAAATACTTGACCTTGCCTAATTCGGATGCGGGAATTAAAAATCTGAAATTAGTTTTGCTCTTAAAACTACAGTTATTTTAATGACATGTTTAGTTTATTTTTGGTCAAAATGTGCAAGCTTATAAACATTATATATAACAGGAGATTACGTAAATGTTGCGACAAATTTCTTGGGGAACAGACCATCAGGATTAAAATTGCATAGGAACTCATTCCCGGGAAAATTTGTATGCGGCTAGGGACACTTACCTATTAAGACCTTTTCAGAAGCAAACGAAGAAACAGTTCTTAATAGGGAATTTCCGGGCATGAGCTTCTATACAATTTCAATCCTGATGATGTGCCCTAACTCCCCTAGAAATTGGACACAACATTAACGTGACACCATGTTATATATTACGTTTATTTCGAGAAAAAATAGACCAAATCGGTTATTTCTAAAAAAAAAAAAATTTAGCTGGAAGAGAGAAATAGATTTGAAATCGGCAATGCAAAAGTATCTTAGATCTGCTAAAGAATCGCATGTATCAAATAAATAAATAAAATTGTGCCCTAAAGTTATGGGAACTATTCTATAACAGAGTGATAAAGAGTTCCAGTAATCAGTTGCATCAAAATAGCGTCTGAATTAGCTATCCTAATTCAGGCTCTAACGACATCACATAATCTACGAAAGGTGCTTAAACGGTAGTATAAACTATGTCTGACTGCATAAAAAAGGAGAATAGATCCCAAAGTCTGATGGTCACCTCCAAGTCTTTGCCTGGAAAAAGCAAAGCAGTTGATGAATTTAATATCTTCATATAATGGTTGAACTGATAATGTAGTGCAAATATAACTCTTATTGACACTTGTATAATTTAGGAATCATTTTATTTTATTGACAGCAATAACAACTTAAAAAGTCTACCAGATGACATGTTTGCTGATATGCCACGCTTACAGACTATTGGTCTTAGACATAACCAACTGACTGTTATACCTGCAACAGCATTCATTGGAAGTACAGACAGACTTGCATACTTTCAACTGGATGGTAAGTTCGCTGTATATCAATATATATATATAGANATATATATAGGTAGGATACCCTAAATGTCCAAGAATTGTCAAACTTCTTGAAAAATAAAGATTGGAAAGGGGGAAAAAGTGTGCTTAATAATTTACACAAACTATCCAATGATACCAAACTCTATACCCAATCTCCACCCTGAAAGTCAGCAAAGAACAAACTGTTTATTACGAACCTCTCACAATTACTTTATTACAGGTAAATAAAACAAAACTTTTTTTTTATTTCCAATACAGCAGGCCATACAGACATTATCCTAACGCCGTACAGAGATCAAAATGAAATAAAAATACAAATACAGAAGGAGAGGAAATATACAAAAACAAAAGCAAAACATCAAACACAAAAATTAATTCAAGAACTTAAATTGAACAAAAGTTCTCTGGCCTCCCAGTATCGGAAGTAGATGCAGTTCATAAAACAAAACTAAATTCCTTGCTTTTACTTAATATTTTTTATTGCCCTTCCCGGTAGCTTTATATTAGGTAAAACACGTATCTTGCAGTTCATCTCATCAGAATAGAGATCAACTGTGTTTAGATTCCACTAGGCGTGATGATATTGCACGCGAGCAACTTAAGATATTAAGGCGATAATTGAGGTTGATAATAATATGGCGGTTTTTTACGATTCTCTAAGACGAAAAAGTATCTTTTAGTCATTAACTTTTCCTTTTAGTAGATGGGTTATTTTTTATTTCAATTAATGCATAATTATCAACATTAATTAAATATAATTGTCGTCTATAATAGTAGTGCAACTTTTTTGCGGTTCTCTAAGCGAATAAGCACCATTATACCTATAATTTTGCCTTTTAGTACATTGCTTGTTTTACCTAATATTTTACTTAATATTTTAGCGTATATTACTTAAATTAATTACGAATCATTGAAGCCAATAGTATGACTATATTTTTACATTTCTCCTTAACGAATCAATACCACGTTTCCATTAATTTTGCTTCTAAATACATAACTATTTATTTTCATTTCTATTACCGTTAGTTTTAAATTATTTACTTTTATGAAAACACACTTTAAAATAATTACTAAAAATGAAATAAACACTTGGTATTGGACAACTTTAAAAATATAAAACGTGTGACGTCGTTCGCAGAAGATACCACGTTAGTGCTTATTGAATTTATCTGTCATAGCGAATTAAAAATATTTAATTATTACGGAGCGTGCAAGAAACTTTTTTTTATCAATTAGAACTGAAAGCTGGAAAACATCTCTGACGTTATCTTCAAAATATTCGACAAATTGATTCTCCTGTATTAAAATTTAAAACAGTGGCTAACTCTAAACCTATCAGAAAATTCCTTTTCGTTTTTTCCTTATCCCACTTTAACGGTTCGTCGCAGAATGTTGACATTGACCTTCCTCGTGTTTCGATCCATCTGTATGCCAAATTTCATATCTTTCGGTCGGATAGTTTAGGAGTCTATAAAGAATACACGCAAATAGACAGTCATTCAATTTTCTTTATATATATAGAAGATTCTGAATTAAGAATGAAATTCTTATCTCTTTATCAATATTGTTATTTAAAATCAGGTTATGGTTCAGACAGTTGAATTCTCGGGTCTGGAGTGATATCTAATCTAGTTCTTAATTTAATATTAGTGTGTGCATAAACTGAAAATGAATAAGATGTGAAACCAAAAGGGGCAAAAATAAACGTTCAGAAAAATATTTCCTCAACGGGAATTTGTTATATTTATTAGATGCGAAATATTAAGGCAATTTTTCATAAATGCATATCCTTTTCATTATTCATTCAGCATATTGCTATTAGAAAAAAATATTATTTAGAATTTTCTTGCTTCACCAGCATTTCAAGTAAATAATTTCATAAAAAATAACAAACATATTAAATAAATAATGGATATTTATTAATTATTGGGACATAAATTTAATTGCAGATGTCGAAAATCATGAATGGTTTTCTTTAAAAAAAATACTGAGTCTTGGAGCCCTCTGATCCTTCCACGAAACCCAAGGAAACACCATTTGAGAACCGCTGGTTTAGATAAAATGTACATCAGATAGAGAAAAAAAAATATTTATTTAAAAATATAACTATAAAATACAACCACGGTTTCAGTTTTTGATGTCCAGTATCACAGAAGTCTGCCGCTTGAGAATAGAGTTATTGTACCACAACTATTATTATAACTTCATATGTGAGAAATTATAGAAAGGACAGGAATTCCTTCAGGTGCATGAATAGGTAGAGGTTGAAAATGTGCAAGAATGGGTGTAATGCTAAGCTAGTCAGCATACGGTGAGTTTCACACAACAATAAACATGCATAAGTTTCGATGGGAGGTGTTTGATCATCCACCCTAAAGACCTGATCTTGTGCTCTCACAGTGACTTTCACCTGTTCTTACACCTGCAAAAACTCTTGTTCGGGCTTTACTTTCCCCCAGACGAAGATTTGCTTGTGGCACGCTGACTCCATTCCTAGACTTCAATAATACTGAACAGCATTTACTTATCGGTTGATATTGACAGCTGACACTATACCGGAAGTTTTATGTTGAATGTTAGTTGAAATATTGTATCTTTTGCAATAAACCTTTTCAAGTAATAATGTTAAATTATTAAAAAAAAAATCCATTTTTGTAACGGAACCTAATCATCTGTATTAAATAAGCAGCACATTTAAGTTTATCCCCCCTTACAAATATTTAAATTGAATTTATCTGAATGAGCAAAATTGTATTAAGTTGAACGTTTTTGTTTCTTTTAATTTGCACACTATACATACAAAAAACCAACTATGATCAGTTGAAAAAAATTAAATTTTATCAACATTATTCTTACTCAAGATATTAGTCAATTACAGCGAAAATAGAAAAAAAATGACTAAATAAACTTAAAAGCAAACGAATTCAAACTTCTAAGCCCAAAATTCTCATTTTCTCACATGATTTTAGTTTCAGCGGAAAAAATAAAGAATTTTTTAAGATGTGTTTTTAACTTAATCCTTTTTTTTCCTTTATAGGTAATCCAATCATCTGCGATTGTCGTCTATCCTGGTTAATAAAGGCGAAGCCAGCAGCACTTTCAGGAACTTGCGCTTTGCCCTCAAAGTTTAAAGGGAAAGAAATTAAAGAACTTGATGCTGCTAATTTTAAATGCTAATTTAGTTGTTTCTACGTATGAAAGCAAATTTTGCTTGTTATTTTCTTCATAAATAACAATTAAGTTTTTATCTACAAAAAAAATCCAGTTTACAATTTGTCTAGTCAAAATGTTCATTAAAAGTTAGCATTTTATAAGAATCCAAGATTATTTTTTATGAAGTTATTTGTGCTATCTTATTTCTGCTGCAGTTTTATTCGTTTTCTAAAAGTGAATGAATATCATCAAAATGTCAAATTAAAAATTTTATTCATAATAAATGTATACATAAATTTTATGAAAAAAGAAAAATGAGTCTTAAGAGGTCTCTACCCGCGCCATCTTAGATTTTAGGTTAAATCTTTAATTTGCGTTTTCTTGATATTTTTTTCATAAAAAATTTTAGATGATATATTATTATTAGACGGCACAATAAATTTCAAAAACGGTAGAAAATAAAGAGTTCGCTTTATTAGACTAGGAAAAATGGCGCTTGATGATTTGTAGAACTTTTATGAATTTTTCTTCCAAACTTTAAAGCAATATTTGGTTTTGAGTAAGCACTTTTGAAATTACATACTTCTCAGTTTTTAGATTTTTATAAATCTAATTTTATCACTGCTTAAAGTGAGGAAAACCGATTTGGAATACTCTAAAAATTTTCTCTTAACGTTAATTGCTTAAAAACAAAGATATGTATAGAGAAAAAAATCTAATTACAGGCAACTGAATACTATTTAACTACTTATCAAAAGCTGTTGATTGCAAAACTGTTTTGGCTTAATTTTGTCGCCAAAAATTCAAAAGAGAATTTAAAATACCGTGCACTTTATCTCCCAAATTGTCATCGGGTGTTGGCCTTCTATTTTTCATATATCGAACGATACTGTCAAACAGAATAAATATCCAATATCAATTCATTTGTGAAAACTAAATGAAAATGACTTAAAGCATATTTAGAATTTTCCCTCAACTTCCACCACCCCTTCGGTAGCTGAGTTCAGTGGAGGGGGGGGGGAGGAATGATCTCTTAAAAGAACCAAAACGAATGACTTCCACTAACGATAAGAAACTACGATAGTTAAAATACAAAATGTTCCGTAATCTCTTTATGCATATATTTTGAATTTTTGTCAAAAATAAAGTTAAAGTTAATAGGGGTCTCGATTTTTTTATTGTTTGATGAAGAAATGGAAAACGCTATAGAAATCTTTTGAATTACTTTTTTGAGTAGTGGAATGAAAAACGAGCTTGATTAAACATGGGGTTGTTTCTGATCATTTTAACTTCTCTCTATTTCTTTCAGCTGTTAAACAGGTTTCAATGTTTTTTCCTCCTGTATTCCCTAGTAGAGATACAATCTAATTTCAATAACTATTTTCCTTTAACTTCGCTTTAATGTTAATTTTTTGCCCCTTAAATATGTTTAAATTTATTTTTGACAAGGCTTATAGAAATATATATTAAGGGTGATCATTATGGAAAAATTTGTATATCGCCCAGTATTTTTATAAATGTTTATTGGGTGATTGATTGAAAGAAGTGATTATTTTCTGTTGAATCAACAAAAAGATTTGTATTAGTTTGTACCTGTGATAATCTCTTATCAAACAGTAGTATTTTTAATCTAATATTTTATATTTTTAAAAATTTATCAATCCTAAAGATAGTGTATTATAGCTAAAGCAGAGGGTGTTCTGAAAAGACCGTTCTTAACACGGTTTTTCACAACTTTTTAACTAAGGATAATAAAAAGCTCGTTGTTTAAGTGTCTTACACTTGAAGCAAAGCTATAATTTTAAGTTATATATACCATCTCGCCGAGAAGAATTCTCAGGGCTTAGAAAATTTTTAAAATTTTTTAAAAAAAGTTATTAAATTTTTTCCCCACCTGGATGAAAGTTATTTAAATCAATATCTTACTCTCATTTTTTGCAAATTTTTATGAGCCCAAGGTTGGGGTAAATTTCTAAATACTTTTTAAAAAATTAGACCATGAACGCTTTTTATTTTCTCAAAATTGTTGCTTGCCTCCATCTTCAGAATAAACATCGATGACAGTGACTAAAGATTGTCTAAATTTGACCTTACAGTCATGAGTAACTAGCGAACTCACAGCAGTTATGAAAATGACATATTCGTAAGAAAGCATAATTTCATACTATGACAGTAGTTTTGAAAGGCAGTCTTATCATAAATTTTTTTTTAAGTCCTTATCAAAACTGACATGGAAAAACATACATTTTGGGAGTCACAAATTATAGTATTTAGGCGAGAAAACGATGCAATCAAAAGAGAATAATTAACAGAATGAGGCAAGATCAAAAACAACGAAAACACGTTTGATTGCCTGAAAAATATGAAATAGTTACCTCAACCTACCTCAATGATCCTTCGTTAGATTTTGTATAAAAATTTCCTCACTAAAATATTGATTTGTGGTCCAAATTATGAATATTTAACTTCATTTTTTGAAGGATTTGCAGGAATTAAAAAACGGTAATTACTGAACGTTATTTTTACGCACAGAAAAAAAGTGCGTGTTCATGTCAAAATATCGCGGAAGGGAATCTAGCAGCAGTTAAATTATCGTCCCAATCTCTGGAGGGTAAAAAATTGTGAGACCGTATCTTTCCAGTTCAAAATTCTAAAAGCTTTCAAAATTCATGTTCTTGTAGCATTTTGCATAAGCTAATTTTTCTTTTAAATCAAGACTACGAAAACCTGGAAAATAGATATCTGATAGAAAGTTATAGTTTATTTATTTTTTTTATCTTATTGACCTTAGAAACGTTGAGGTAAGTACTTTATATTTGTGGTAGTGTTAGGTCTTTAATAGCAAGGACGCAACAATTTTTGAGAGAAGAAATGCATGAAGAGTCAGTTTTGTTAATTGCATAAATAATAAAGCACATTTCTCTTCTAAATAAGTTTAATTTAATTGCTTATAGTTCGCGAAAGCCGAAGTTTTAATACTTAGTTTTGCGAAAAATTTAACTTGAAATCTTATTTATTTTAACAGTGGTAATTCAAAATGAAAACATACATTAATGATAGCGGAAATATATACCAGACTCGCACGCTACAAAAGAAATTTTGCAAAAAAAATTCCAAATTTTTTTGAGAAATGAGACTACTGTAGCGAGAGAAAAAGCAGGCATAATAATGATATTTTGGTATTATTTTTATTAGTATTACTTTTTGGGGGGATTATTATTATTTCTTAATTATCTTTTAGATTATAGTGTCTTGTATACCAGTAGATGACGCACAAAAAATTATGTTTCTGGCATAAAAACTAAAAATAATTGTTTTAAAGTTTCGCAATGTCCATTACACTAAAGTTTTTTTTTAATTGTCATATTTGAGAATTCAAATACTGAGAGAGAAAAAATATAAGTTTTAGAAAAAAAATATGAATAAACTAAAAAAGAATGAGACCTAAAAATAAAATAAAATTTTGTATCAAGATAAATGTAAATTAACAGCTGTCATTTGTTTTATTCGCAGCTATTACTTTTTTCGGGATTACTTTTCTTTTTAATTATTTTTTGGATTATAGTTTCTTGTATACCCATAGATGACGCACATAAAAATTAGGTTTCTAGCAACAAAACGAAAAATTATTATTTTAAATGTCACAATTTTTATTATGTTGAAATTGTTCTTAATGTTGAAATTGTTCTTATTTAAGAATTCAAATACGGATAGATAAAAAATATAAGCTTTAGAAAAAATATGAATAAAGTGTAAAAAAGAATGAGACATAAAAAGAAAATCAATCTAATCTAACTAACAGCTAACAGAAAGATAAATCTAAACTAACAGCTGTCATTTATCATATTTTTCTTCTCAGATAACAAAAGTAGTGTTTATAGGATCATTTTCGTTCAATCACGGCAAAATCAGGTTCATAATCTAAAAAATTCCGGACATAAATTTAATTTCTTTTAAATTAATAGAAATGAGGAGAGTCCTAGTTTTGTTTTTGTTCGTTGCTGCAGTCAGTTCAACGAAGCCAGGATGTCCTATAAGTTTAGATATTAAACCATGCGTTTGCACAAATAGCCCATTTACATATTTGCAATGTAAGCATTTGGATGATGTCGATGTCCTTAAAAGCGTTTTTGAGAACTCTACTCACTACAAATACAAAGAAGTAAGTTCAGAAGTGCTTGTTCCTTAATTTCTTACTTTTTATTCGAAAATTCTATTTCATTTGTGAAGAGCAGATGATATAGATTTAATACATTTTTGTATAAAAAGAAACTTTGGTAATACTTTGAAAAACCAATACTTAAGTGCATCCCCCACAAAATATGTGTTGGAGTTGGGAATTATTCAAATCCACCATATTTATCTGATCTAGCACCCAGCAATGTCCATCAGTTTCTTAAACCTTAAAAGTTTAGGAGAAAAGAGATTTTGTAGTAATGAAAAATTGGAAATTGCTGTTTGTACAAAGCTCTTTTGAGAACTGTGGCAAAACATTTTAGCTAACATTTAGCATTAAAGCTTTCTCCGTTAAGTTTTCTTTCGTATTTGAATATGAACCCTCAGAAGGGGTTGTGTTCTGAGCTCGAATCAAAATTATAAAAAGTCAAGCAGTCGGGTAGAGACACGGTTCCTAGTAGAACGCCTAAGTCAAACATCACTGGCTGCGGTCAATAAGCGGATGCTTGACCTCTCTTTGATCTGCCTATGTAGGGTCCGAGGATACACGGTATCGGTCCTCATTCAACTGTTCTAATGTAAAGTGCTCGAATTCGAGCGTGAATCGTCGAGATGAGAGAGCGGGAGAGCCATCCTCTCTGCAGAGGATCAAAATTGTGATGGTATGTCTTTGGATCATTCTTAGGCATGTTTCCCAGATTTTTGCCAATACCCCATTGTGGTTATGGTGGTTCACGGGATACAGCGCTCACCACTCAATGATGTGACTCTGGTTCGAATCCCAGCTACCACCACAATGCTGACGTAAAATATCCTCAGTGGTAGGCGGATCATGGATTAGATTCCTTTTGCCGTCAGGCTAAACGTGGGTGGTTTTTCGTGGCTTTATTATCCCTGAAAAGCAAATGCGGGATAGTTCAATCAGAAAGTCCTCCTCCATACAGGCAAATTTCCCCCAATAGTTGATCCCGGAGTTACCTAATCGTCTGGATTGTCCTAATCGTCCGGAGTTACCTAATCGTCGCTCAAAATTACAAGGCTATGGAGTTGAACATTGTTAGTTATATACTCAAAATTAAGTCGGTTATTCAATAACAGCTATAAAATTTAAAAAAAATTACTCATTTGTGCAGCTCAAGTGCGATGTAAATAAAGTATTTGGCTACCAAAATTATAGAAAATATACTAAATGTGTAATAAAGAAAAGAAAATAAAGAAATAAATAAAGCAAAAATTAGCATATTTTACCAAACCTTTTTTGAACTTACCAATTTTAAAAATTTTGCCTTTTGATTGCTGTGCACAGATTATAGAGATTTGCAGCTTTTTATTCATTCGTTTATTTACTTATTTACTGACAAAATATTCATATAATATGTAGACTCCCTGATTAGCCAATGCACTGCTCGTTTCCTTTTTTCTTTTGTCACTGGCCATTTTATTTATTCATAGTAAACGTTGTTCTAAAGGTAAGCTATTCATATGTTAAATAACGTTAGCTAAAATTAATTGCTTTTTATGGACCAGGAAAGGCCAACCTTTTTCAGGAAAGATGCTATTATCTTAAAAATCAAAATTTTGCCTACCATTTCGAACACATAAAAAAATAATAAAAATATAAAAAGTTGAAAAACTGATATTTATACGCTGATTGTGTGATTTTCTTTTTTGCAAATAGCAATTTTTTAAATTTAATCTAAGCAGTGGGGACTTAAGAAAATTAAATTTTAAACAAAGCAAACACATACAAACTTCGGTTTAATTTTTGATAACTATTTTTAAAGGTTCGGTCTGCTAGGTTATGTATAAAATAAAAATGAATAACGCCAAATATTTAATTTTAAATAATTATTAAACAGTAAGTAATGAATGCTTTACAGATTTTTAAAACGTTCCTGAAGACTACAATCGATATTATTATCAGTTTTGAGATAAAATTTGATGTGTCACTCTGTAGCATGCATGGAGCTGGTTGGTCATCCATTACTTAGGGGTCAACAATCTTTTGATTTTGTTTTAGATAACATAAATTTAATTAAGAATCTAAATACTCAAATTAAAATTCCAAAAGTATTCAATAAATTCGTGTGTGTTTTAATTCAGGTGCACATTGAATTCTCCACAATGCAATATCTCCCTTCTGAGATATTTGAAAAGGTTCCAATCACAGAGTTGCATTTGAAGAATGTGACATTAGCTCAACTCTTCGACAAACCGCCAAGTAATTTAAAAGGATTGGACACCTTACACATAGAAAACACAAGAATTAACAGGTATCAAGTTTATTATTCCAGTTTGGGTGCCTATCTCTTACTATATTTGGTAGACAAGTGCTTAGCAGTAAATACTTTTAACGTCCAAATTATAATAATAAATTTAACGCTGAAGTTTTTTTTTTTACAATGAGCTGCGCAATCGGTCTTGCCGATGAGCAGACCTAGTGCGTTCTCTAGAGGTGGTATCCACTCTTTCAGGGCCATCACAATGGGTGAGATACCGTATGCGAAGACATTGAAGTAACAGTCACTATAGTTTCATCTTTATATACACTTTAAAAGTATAGTTAATCGTCCAGAAACCGAAGCTTAAAGCAATAATTTTAAAAAATGCGATTTTTACTTGGAAGTATGTTTCCTAGAAGAAAGTATACTCGCAAATACGATAAAGTATTTTTTTAAAGAATTCAATTAACTTAAATCAACTAGCTGAACTAAACGTAATTAGCTTCATTAGCTTTATTCTGAACCCTTTCCGCCAACTCTACCGTATACGTACCAAAATGAAACGGCGTGCCGATGCGATTTCTCCTTCGTTCCCGACCGTCACATATTTGTGAAAGTGCTCTAGAACATTTTAAAAAATATAACTTTTAGCACAGGATGGGATTGTATGCTAATAGGATTTGAAATACTTGTAGATTTAACCTTCTACTCGACATAAGAGACCTGTGGTTTTTGATTATATAAACATAAGGGCAAAATAAAAAGGCTTCCTAATCGTATGCTTTAAGACATTCAAAATAATCATGTGGTATTTGTTTATAGTAAGTGGGATTTTTTAAATTTGTAGTTAGATCATGTTGACATCAAACTTAT